GGGGGGGGGGGGAGTCGGGCCAATTAAGTGTACAATATTATTGTTCCTAATTTAGTGCATGGTTGGATCCTGTGTGTTGCGCTCTGTGGGCTATCTGCTGAGGTAATGCACAATCTGCCCGCACCTCTCTCCCTGCCAGGGCTGCTCCTACTAAGCATCGCCCGAGGGATTCAGATCGTGTGTGTGTGTGTGTGTGTGTGTGTGTGTGTGTGTGTGTGTGTGTGTGTGTGTGTGTGTGTGTGTGTGTGTGTGTGTGTGTGTGTGTGTGTGTGTGTGTGTCTTAGTCTTAGGGTTTGAACAGCGAACAGGGTCAGTCCCTTTGTCTCACCACACGACAGGTGCTTGTTTCTCATAAGTGTCACCCCCAGCTATTGACTGCATTTCTCTGACTTGATGTTTCTTGGAGATCTTTCAAAGTACATGTTATTCCTTATAATTTACACATTTCCATGCAATGTTTAGTCAGTGCGGTTTTTCCTGGCAGTTTTTAATGGCTCACTTGACTGTATATCTACTAAGGTACACTTTCATCTGCAACTTCATTTTTTTTGCAATTATTTAGTATTAATTACTACAGGTTAAAAACAGCAACTACATTTTATGATACTTCTCTATTAATGCAAAATGCATTTAAGGATGGCCCTCATAATGTGGCATGTTCTGTTTTTGGTATACTAATCTACTTACTGCGTGTTCACTTTACACCTGGTCTAATTTCTGTCTTTCTGTTCTCACCTCTGTGTAAACCTGTTCAGGGTGCGTTCACCTTCCGCGGCAGCATGATTGACATGCCCTCGGTGAAGCAGGCGAAAAACATCGTAACCCTCTCCGTTGTGGTGCCAGAGAAATGACACAACTGGTGGGAAGAATCACGAGGAACCGCACAACTTGACCCTGATGGGAGACGTCAAAGGGAACAGGAACTCTTGCTGGTTTCAGGACAAAAATGGCACTTTGAAGTGTTTTAAACTATATCGCTGGACATAACTGGATGGTGGAAATCGTGGTTTTAATTTAAGTTTTAATAAATGTGGAAATTGTTTTTTTTATTTCATTTGATTGTTATGGCAATTGCAATAAGTTTGACATTTTCTTTGTTGGTCCTTTTATTCGCTCGTGGCGTGTATTGACGGTTACTGCCTTGTTTGGGCACTTTTTTGGCACACTGTGCAGAGTGTGCGCCATCATGTCATTCTTCAGTATATGTGCCCATGCCTCCCATCTCTCCTAGGTCATGATGAATGCCCTCCCACCTCCACGATCCAGGCAGCTGGGTGAAAGGGTAAACAAACACAACAAGCCACTGTTGTGGATCTATTCATTAGGCCCCAGCGCTCCAGTCAGGCCTCAGCCCCCTGCCCAGGGCCCGACTCACAAACATCAAAGTCTCGCTCGCTTAGAAAACACAGATGGAAGTGCGTAAACTTACGATTTTTTTTGTGTCAGCCTCCTCAGTGAAGACATTCAGCTCGCCCTGTGGCAGCCGTGAGCCTGCGGTCTTGATGGAGAAGGCGTGTGGCGCCACACACACACCATGACCTGTAAAAAATGTAAAGAAACACTTCATACATGCACATGCTGCGACAGTATTCTTTACCTGAACGCTTATTTAACACAAAGATTTAAACTTGGATTATTGTTTCCAGACTAACTTTTTGCTCCTCGACAAGTTCAATAAAGTTGTTTGTTGTGCTGTAACAAATAAAAGCACAAAGGCGCTCTGTGGAGAGCTTGTGCATGTCTGACTTCCAGAGACAGTGAAGTGGGTGTGATGTTGGAGTGAGACAGATTAGTGGCCATGTTGCTCCAGCAGACCAGGACCGAGGCTTTGTCTCTCTGACTGTGGATGGGAGGATAATTGGGGGGGTGTTGAATGGTTAATAGTGCCATTGGTGACCATGGTAATGAAAGGCACCATACCCCACCTCATCCCCTCATCTCTCCCTCTCTCACTAGTACTGTATGATCTATTGTGTCTGGGGCAGGACTGTGGTCTGTGCCAGGCCAGGCCAGACAAAAAGATCGAAACCACTCCTGCGCCCAGCCAAAGACCCCAACAGTAAGCTGTCTCTTTGGCATTTGGCCACATATTTCTCTCACCCCTGCTCACTTTTTTTCTGCCATGAATTCACATTGTTTGTTTTCACCCAATGTTCCATTAAACCCTTAGGTTGGTAGACAAAACTGTTATTTATTACTTTAATTAAATAAATCTACAAACGGTACTAAAGTATAGAGCCATTTTGCAGGCTCTGTGGATCTTTTAAACGGGCATTGGACAAGCCACATCTCTCACTTGGTCATTCTGCAATGTGGTGTTTGTGAATAACCTGTGCTGATTGCATTAATCAAACGTTTTTCTTGATTTGAGGTTATGTCATTCAAATGGGCTTCACTGATTTGTATCAAACTTGAAACTCTGACTTTTTTTAAACTTACAGAAATGTATAATTTGTTGCAGCTTAGTCTTTCCACAATCTGAAGTGAATGCTGAAATAGTTACTGGAGGAAGTCCACTTTGGTTTTGCATCAATTAGTCTAAGCTTCATGTCTTTTTAATTGTGAAATGATTAAATGCAATTTAATAAGTTGAGTTTGGAGGCTAAGTATTGTCTCCAAGTATTCACTGAATACATATTTTTGTAAGGTTGATAATGAAAACATTTTTTTTTAAATGTTTTACTTCCAAATATTGAATAACATCTATTTCCCTATTGAGTACAAACTGCATAATAGGCTCGATCAAGCCATTCTTGGACACATGTGCTGCACTCGGAGTTGAAAAGAGGCTCACCAGGTGACTTCAGTGGGGAAGGAGGCCGTTCTTACGGGACAACATGGCTTTTCGGAGCTGCTCTGCACCAACAGGTGTCCCTCAGACAGGAAGGAAGGTCTCTAAGCAGAGGAAGCAGCTCAGGGCATCATGCAGGGACCAAGCAAAAAGGGCAGCTCTTCTGAGGATGATCAGGAAATAATTTGGCTAGTTTATATTACAACAAAACACAACATCCCCTTAGTGTTTGTTTACCACCTTTTTTATTATCATTCTTTCTAATATAGGTTGCCCTTATTTCCACCCACACTCTCTCAGCCCTCCCCCTGTAGGTAAAACAAACGCTGTCTTTTGCTCTCGTTTTGCTTTTATTGCACCTTGACGACTTTGCAATTCAATAACATTTTGGATTGAGAAAGCCAAAGATTTCAGTGACATCTCTGTATATTAGAGGAATGCATCCCCGTCTGCCTCCGCTGTGTAATTCTACATGACATTTCTATTATGTGTGGAGCTGATATAATCTTCTCAGTCCTCTCGGTAGTTTTATTTAAATACATCTCTCTGGTATTCCCTGAGAGAGTAAATTACAATTAACACGATTATAACCTCACAAAATTGTGACGGGAATCAATTAGGCTGCGAGCATTATTTCATAGCCCGGTAATGTGTTGGTCGAGATTGCTTTCATAAATTATGAGAGACAGCGCAGGCGGAGAAAATGCATGTATGCAAAACACTGTCAGAGGAAAATTAAAACGAAATGTTTTACATATTTTTCCATTAATCTAAATGGGACCCGTGTGGCAAAGATGGTTTTATTCTAATTCCCCGCCCGGGGATGCCCAAATAATGACTTGATGTTTTAATAGACTTCTAATGACGATATATGACAAAGTAATTGCAGCAAAAGATTATTCTAAAGCAATGAAATACCTCGTTATTGTAACTGCAGCACAGTTTGAGAAGTGTAAACCTATTAGCAACAATGACTTAAAATATAACGTAGGCTATGAGCTGATCAACATAAAACATTTAGTTTAAGCTAATTAACTGCGTTGCGATATTTTGTTATATTGTTTGAATAAATTAAAACCTTTTCCAAGTGGCTCCAAAAGGCCATTTCCTACAACTACTAGTCAGTGCTAATTTTCAAGTGTCCAAGGCCTAGTGCAGAAAAACACAATGAAAAGTATTAAATATCGCTTTACAAATTCTAATAAAAATGCTTTAGATTAAATAGAAACTATTTATTTTTGCTTTGTGAGGATAAGCATGTGGTAATTGTAAAAGTGATGTAATTTGAAAATGCATTTAAGAAAATGCAGCCTCAAGTAAATTGATCATTTTAAAATAAACAATAATAAAAAACATAATTATAACGTAAAAGCAAATTTAATTCCGAAGCTTGTTAATAAAATATTGAAGCTATCTATCTTGTTGGGTCATTGTATATGTATGGCAGGTAAGCGTTTCTTACTGCATTAATTAAGTATTCTGTCATTTTATTCTGAATGTTATTGCATGTTAGGATATTTTTTGATATTTTCTTCAGAAACCACCAAAAGCAGTCGGTCTTTTTGTCAAGCGCAGAGCCTTTTATTTCCCCACCGATGACAGGCGCATGTCCAGCCTCCTTTTCTTTCCTTTTTTTTCCCAGTTCGTTTGCATGATATGAAATTCACCGTGGCCTGTCTGTCCTGCCTCAGTGATCTGGCACATGTGGACCATTACTAAACTTAATTTGAGAAAACCTTTTGTCTGAGTATCAGCGACGCAGGCGCGAGGCAGGATGCAGGATCAGAGTTGTTAGATCCTTTTAATTTTTTTATTTCACCTTGATATTTTAGAATAAATCTATGTTTATGCAAAGCCATAAAAACACCCTTAACAGGCCTCATGTAAAGCTGAATAATATACATTTTCCAAAGCAAATAAATGTAATCTATATAAATGATGTTCATTTAGGTTGAATTGTTGTTGCCACTTCACGTCAAGCTTAATCAATATTTCATTTCCAGCACCAAACGGGTATAAACATAATAGTGCATAGCTGCATCCCACCTGCATTAGGTCTATCATAAAGGTGATGTTGGGGAGGGGTCCTTATATTTAATTTTACCCACCAAACTGGTCCAGGCCTCGGTTTGAAGGCCCTCCCTGCTTCTTGTAGAGTTTAGTTCTTGGAGGTCCGGTTCTCTTAAAGTTCAGGCTCCTGGGTTTATTTACCTGGTGGATAAATATATTTTGCAGTTAGAGAAAAAAAGTCACAGAAATGAAACAGACTTGGCAAGTTGGCAACATCTTACCCTCAGGTGTTGACTCATATGCAAATTAGGATGCATTTTGTCCCACATTGAAAAATCTAATGAAATTATTGATTGTACAATGTATAGGTAAACATATTTTAGATGACGTTACCTTCCTCCTTAGCCCTGATTCCCCCAGACTCCCTTCTCCTTAACGGGCTTAGATCAAAGGCTGCCCGGAGACCACTAAAACCCGCGCGCTTTGTCTGCTGTTGCCAGGAGTGAGGAAGGGTGTCGGTGGGGAGGAGGGGGGAGGCATGGTAATGAGACTCGTTACAGAGCGACACAAAGTCCCTGCAACTTTTTCATTTTTTACCACAAGTGTCCATCTGTCGTCCTTTCTGACTCCAGTTTCCTCTTCACTGCAGCACAAGTTTCTTTTTTGTATTTCTTTTTCTAGGCCTACTTTATTTCCTGGGGATTACAGCCACACATTTGCATGGTGAAGTAAAAGAAAATGAAATGTCTGATTCACAACTTAAATGGGATGGATGCATGTCTGAAGGTGATTTTCACATTGCATACAAAAACGCACATCTGTCACAGTTAATGCACTTTAATTAAATAATGAAAGTGCACCTACTTGCTCTTGAGTCTTTTTTGTTTGTTTGTTGTTCTTTGTTGTCCCTAAACGCACCAGACAAGACAGACCAATAGAAAGTTTACGCGACCGACACAGACAGTTTAAGGGAGAAAAAAAAGGTAACAGCACCTCATGAAAACAACATGTCTGCGGAGGTATGGCCATACTGACATAAACGCACATCAGATCTCTCACCTGCCTCTAGCAGTTAATTAGGCAGTAAAATGTGAAGCCAGTGCCAAACAATAATAGGTTCCATATTACTCATGTTGAAAAATTAAATGAAACCTTCTTGGAAACAATTTCTCATAAAGGCAAGTATTTTCGAATAGGAAAATAAATCATATATGAATTTTCAGGCAAGTATCTGTTGTGATCTCATGCTGCTGTCTTTGTTTTACCCTGTTTACCTGCAGGTTATCAATATTTGACGTTTTATAATGAAAGCATCCACAGTGGCTCAATCCAACCTCTTTTTTTCGATTCCCAGATTTAGTTTTTTGACCAAGATATTGCGAAAGATGTTGTTGGGACATCCTAAACTTTTATTATTTATAGGGTGTGTTAACATTATCTTTTAGCGTTAAATGTTTATTACTGAAAATTAAATCTATAATTGTCCTCTTAAACTTTTATACCTAATTTAATTTACCTCGTTGGAAGTATTGCTAACTATTTTTCGGGTTTTTAAATGTTGATACAAACTGATATGTGATAATTTCCCATGTCTCAACACAATCAAAAAACCAAGCTTTTGATGTGCACCCGCCCCCCCTCTCTCTTTTCTTCCCCTCTCTCTATCCATCTCTCTCTCCCTCTCTCTCTATCCCTCTCTCTCTCCCTCTCTCTCTATCCTTCTCTCTCTCTCCCTCTCTCTCTCTCTCTCCCTCTCTCTCTCTCTGTGCCGTTGAGCAGGTGGAGGCCGCGCACCTGCACACACAGCTGCGCGCACCTTGTTATTGCTGCCGCTGCTTGACGCACAGATGAGCGCAGCGCACAGCCAACAACACAATCCCGACGATATAAACCTCTCCAGTGCCACAGCCCGCAGCCTCAGCGTGCTGCACTTCTTTTAATGGAGAGACATGCATTATTTCTGGTAATTATTTTGAGGTAGTTATCAATTAAATTATATCTAAACAAAATAGAAAAGAAAAAATCACAAACAAAGTTCTTTATCTATAGTGTTTTCCAAGCGGGACAGGGATGTATACATCCCAGCCGTCTACCTCTTGTTTGTCATGCTCCGGACTTCCAACATGACACCATCTAATCCAATTAAACACGATAACCCTGGACTAACGTATTATTCTCTTCCTTTTTCTTTCGAGTTGCTGACAAGCACTCTTGGTTTTGTGTGAAAGAGAGAGTCAAGAGCCCTCTCTTAATCCCGGGCACGACTAGGAGTGATTGAAAAGTGAAAGAAACCCCTCATTGGTCCTCGAGCTGGATGGTGTTTTCTTTGTCCAGTACTCTGGCTTTTTGTTTAGTGCGGTCATCATGCATAGCAGTCCTTTCTGTGGGCTCTTTAAAGGGAAATCACGTCCACTGAGCCGGTGACAGTTATTAGTTAGTATCATAGAAGTATACTTTATTGAAACAACATAAATAACCACAACTCTCTCATTATCTTGTACAAATTGGTTGTAATCCAAATAATTATTGGGATTTAAAAAAAACAATGAAACATGTTTTTTTGTTATATGTAAAGTGTGCCATAATTAGTCGTCTGTTAAAATGGTTTAAGGAGAGCATGTTATTAAAAGAATAAGCATAACAAAAATCCTTAATTGTAAACACCCTCCCCCCAACCCCTCTTACACACAAACTTCAGTGCAAATTCTGAGATGGATGAAAATGAAACATGCAGCTCAAACAAACCAAAAAAATTAAGGTATAACAAGCTGAATTTTAAACTGGCATGTAAAATGTAATGTTTTATATTAAAAGTGTCACAAATTCCTACTTTCAAAGTGTTTTCTAGAGAAAAGGCGACGTGGTTCCATACAGCCAGCCTCGAGCCCACATAACATATTGTAGGTGTTGCAAAATGACAGGTAATTGACATTAATCCGCTCTCTCTGAGACTCAGGGGGGATCTAAAGTAAATGGGGATACGGTTAATGAAGCACCACTTGCCCTTTGGATCTCGGTCACAGTGTGCAGCGGGGAAGTTTGCTGAAACTTCGGGCAAGCATCATAAAATATGATGAGATGTAGAGCGATGATTGAAGATTTAGAGGAGTGAATGTTGGATTGCTAGAGCAGATACGGATAGAATAAAAAAAAAAGAAGCCAGCCCAGAGGAGGATTAGCACATGAATAATAACTTTTTAAGTGATGACTCAGGTTATTGCTCTCACTTTCTTTGACATATCAGAGGCGTTTTTAAAATTGATGCTTGCCTAACAGGCTCTCATAATGCGCCAAAAACCCTTCCTGCATCCACAAGGTTGTTATTATGCTTATTATAATTCATATTGGGAGCCTTCCCTATAGGAGCTGTGACAGACAGACAGAGGCCAGGTGTGAGAGGTACACTTTGAGCGTAAGGAGTCGCACCTCTCCTCGCCATGCGCACGTTGCTCGGTGCCACAGGGGCCTGCGTAATGAGGGCACCTATGGGGCCCTCCTGGATGGAGAGGTGTCCTAACCTCGCCACGGCCGGTCAGAACTGAAGCTCCGACACCTGCACGTCACCCTCACCCCCCTCCTCCAATCGGCTCCCGGGCAGCGCCTGCCACAGCACACACACCCCCCCCAACTTTTGACAACGATAATGATGTGCATGGTGAAAATGCTAAGGAGGGGCTATGGTAGGGAAATAAGGAAGCACTGGGGAGGGGCCGTTGCATTTCTCCTCAGGACCAATTCACTTGTGATAGAAAAGCACAACTCTGCAGCCTCCCACTGAACTGAGGAATGCATAATCTGCTGCTTGGCTTTCTCACAATTCAGAAAACAGGTTATTTTCAAATATGTGCTATACTATGTTAAACACTAGTCCAAACAACAACAAAAAGTACTGTTATTAAAACTATTCAAATGATCTTATTATAAGATTTGACATTCATAATGATGTGATAAATGCAGCCCTCTTGAGACTCACATCCTATGTATTTAGGTTTTGGGCGAACTATCAGTCATGTTAACAAAATATCGCCTCATCTCAAGGTTTAGTGTCACTAAGATGGATCAGCTTTGATAGTTTGTGAGATATACTGTCATTTACAATGGCAAGTGTCTAGGAAGGGCCAAAAGGTGACCATCCCCAACGGAGCTGGCCTAATTACACAATTAGTCTTGTGATTGGGGCAGTCCAGAGCGAAGCGTCCTGCGGGACAACCAGACACATTATGGCTGTCATCAGCATCTTCACAGCAAGTAAAAGAGCCCGGCTAATACGTGCGCTGCTTATGTCCTTATGAGGTGGAGGGTTGTGGTTTCTTTCACTGAACATGTTTTGCATTTCTGTTTCTTGAACAGAATTTCTTGAAGGCCAGTGAGGGCCAAACATCTTCTCTGCAGTACAAAGCAAGGCGAGGGATGGAAAGTGGATGTGGAGCTGTTTCCTGCCACCATTAATACCATAGGTCATCTTTGTATTCAATCATTTATGTCTTAAGCCTCATCTGGGGCCTCAGTGCACCAACACAACATCCTTTTGAAGCCATTGGTCAGATGGAGACCCCCATTCCTCAATCTCATTGCCTATCCAGCCATATATCCTTTCTGGCTTATCCCTGGTCAGATGGAAACATCAAGACACCATTTCCTTCTGCCCATCCAGAGCCATATCTTTCATTTCCAAACCCAAGTCTGTGAAAGAGAATGGGTGTGAGGCTTGTGATGTTTGGCAACCACGCAGACAACTCCATGAAGTCAGAGGGAGGTCCTGGCTCTGCATGGTTGAGGAGGCAGTAGTGCCTCCACACTGGATACTTTACTGCTTGTGCACTGGCTTATCACATTGGATTAGAGCTCCTAGTGAGACTGGAAGCTGAGGATGATTGCTAACCAACTTCACCAGTTTGCCCATGATGAACATAACTATGTGAAGACGGTCAGATGTTTGGCCGAGCAGGAGTCAAACCCTTATCTGTTGTTGGCACAGACTACCGTTTGTCTTTTTTATTACAAAGACAGATTATTGTCTCCTGATGCTCCTTCTCTCCTTACCAGGACATAACCTTCTTCCCCTTCTTTTCTCTCATTTCCAAGGATGCCCCCTCTCCCCAGCTGCGATTTCCCCCACTCTCAATGTTAACCTTTCTGCAATAAAACCAGATGCATTATGGCCCACCATTTGATGTTGAAGGCGTGAGGGTTCTGCACAAATCTGGCACTGATATGAATCTTCGCCCACAATGGAGAAAGTGATGGTAAGAAAGTAGAAGCAGAGGAGTGGGGGTGGATTAAAATAGTGGACTGGCACTAAGCTTTTGAAATCATTTCGATCAATCATAGATAGGTTTTCAAGATATGTTTGGTTCCGACTGAAGGGAGATACATGGATTTGAATTTGATTAGTGGTGGTGAAAGTAATCCTTTATAAAAATCACCAGAGGCCACAATCTGGTGTTTAAGTCCCAGGTCAATACAGCATGTGTTCCATAACATGTGATGAGTAAACTAAATGGAGTATAATGCAGTATCCATATACAATTTTCTTGTTTTTATAGTGGAAAAACAGCCCTTAAGAATATAAAATGCTTATTTCAAAATAAGTCAAACGGAGTCATACAGGATGTTCTCCGTGTGCCAGGGATGACACAGTTTGTTTTCGCTCAGGTAACTTGTAAACAGGAGCATCCCTGTGCACAAATCAAAGTATCCCACACTAAACAGTCCATCTGCTTCTCTTTGATAGAGTATATATTTCCATTTCCCTCCACCCTGTCAGCCCTAGTTTCCAGTACGCTGAAGCCTACATCCTGCATTTAGAGGCTCTTAGGAAAGCCCTGTCATTCAATGAGAGACTACTGGGGCAGCATGCTCGCGCTTATCTGCACTTTAGTTTCTATTTTCTAGCCGGTGGGCTATACAAGGGCCAGGTAGCGGGGCCTGGCTCATGCGGTTGTCCGTGGACGACCTTGCTCCCCTCACCTACTGCCTTGGAGTGGCTCCCAGTCCTGGGATGGGGCTTTGGACCGGCACCAAGTCTCTACCCCCACAGATGTTACTGAGCCACCAGATATTATGTCAGTTTCTGAGTGATGTATCATGCTCTTCTGAATAGCAGTGCACGAGTGTAAAGTAGCCGGAATACACGTGACAACATTAAATATTGGTAGAGTATCCCATCCCTAAAATATTTAGTGGGAATGGTTTAATTCTGACTCTGCATGGTGTTGCACTGATCTGTCATATCAGCTTGTCAGCTCATTAGGACATTTAGTTTTTTTGAGAAGAAAATACTTCTATTTTCAATATAACAATTAAATAGTTGTTTAAAATAATCATATATATGCTTTATAGTAATTGTTCATGCATTTCATTATTCTTCATTGCAAAAATCATAATTTCATAGTGCAATTACAGATACACATCTAGACTTCAGTTATTACAAATAATTGTTCTCATTCTCTTTGGAATTAGTATTTGTTGGTATTCTGTTATTTGGTATACCTCCTCTGTTTTTCACTCTATTTTTGACTTTTTTGTTAACACATTTAAAACACAAAGTAACCTAGGATGGTTAATTAGTGCTCATTGAAGATATTTGGGGAAAACACATTCCAGGTACACTTTGTCTAACATGAAACATTCTGATAAGTGTTCTTTAATTAAGCTTTATAATTGAATTAAAGAACAGTATCTGAAATAAGGTCCCACAAACAGAGGAACAGTGCTGTTATGCTGTTTTCTATACCGTCATACCACTTAGCTTGAGATGGAAGGTGAGAAATAACAAAGTCTAAATGTCAGAGCAAGAATAAACCAATTTCCTTCTCAGCACACTGAGTTCTTAGCATGTTATGATTATATGTAATTGCGGAAACCACTAGAACAGCATAGATTTCTGCTTTAACATGAAGGAAAACCATGTTGTTAAAAATCCAAAATGGATGATTGCTCGCTCGGTAATTAATTTAATGAAGTTCTTATGAAACTTAAACCAAGTAGGCTACAGGTCAGTTGAGTAACCCCCCGGCGCGCGCTTTGTCAGATGTTTAACTCCCGCACTCCTCTGGGAAAGACACCGGGGCTAATGGGTGAAACCAGCTGCTGTAGTGGGACTGGAAAGCAGTGACATTCCCCCTGCAGACCTCCGAGAATTTGAGGGTAAAACCGGACAAAGAATTTCCCATGCGCAATCAAAAATATCAGGAGGAAACACTCCTTCCTAAAAAAAGAAAAAAAAATACTAAACTGTTGAGTCGCTCCTTTAACTTGCTGTAGCTACAACATAAACTGAGTGTTCGCAGAGCAGAATAAAAGCGAGGGTGCTTCACTGGAAGGGAATGAAACTCGCTCTCCGAAGTTGAGGGTCTCCAGTTAACCGGGCAGAGGTGCAGCAGCAACTGCGATGTTTTCTGACTTGATCATGAAACTTAAGACAGTAGGCAGGCAGGCAGGTAGGGAGCTTGGAACAAGTTGGCAAAATGCCTGGATTGCAAATATGTGGCCGTTAAATGTGAAGAAAGAAGTGAACCTGAAAAACGGAAACTTCACACTGCGTTAAAGTTAAGACTCGGGTAGACAAACAGGTGGCACCGAATGTTAGTTACAATAATGTATTTGTAGTTCATGATCATTTTGCATTTCTGTTCTGATCCTAAGTTAACTTCACAGTGCACAGATAATATTGTGTAACTAAATCGAAACGTTCCTTGGACATTGCAGTATATTTAGAGGGAGAGGTGAAATGCGGTAATAAAGCTCTGACCAGAATTTACAAATTATCCAAATTAGGAAACAACACATTGTTAATTGTGACCTGGTCTATATTTCAACAGAGGAATCACTTATTGCTTTAACGAACGTAATATAATATAAATATACAGTAGTTCATGTAATTAAGTCACACACTTATTTCCAGGGGTCTTTTCCTAATTCATCACACATTTCTTATTAATTATTGTAATATTTAGGAACAAGACATGTGTAGTTTAATTTTGTAACGGAACGAAAATCAGCCAAAGCTGTCACAAGGTGCTGCTGTTCTGCTATATTTGATATCTGAGTGGGGGTGTTGTTGTGCTGTTTCATCACACCTGCTTTCTTGTTCACAAAAATAAACCGTAAATTTAAAAAATCCTAATTTTTTCCTTCAGAAAATGAGCGTTTTTCTGTTGCTGTCAGGTGAGCCAAGCCCAGTGCGGTCTGCAGGCGCAGGTGCATGGATCAAATGACCTGCATCTATTTAACCAGAGCCTCTTAACTTTTGTGACTAAAATGATCACTTCACAAGCCATTTTCCTGCGCATTGTGCCAAAAACATTCAGGAGATGGATAATGCTTGTAAAGTCTGACAAGACAGCATTTGTTTTGGTTCTACGCTCGTCTGAGAAATTATCTTTCAACCCCTTTAAAGGGTACAATTGAGAAGCAGCGACGTTTTCACTGCGACTTCTTGCTTTGTCCTCTCCAAAGTGGCGTCTGCATGTCTGACTCTGCCAGTTACTGATTTGCAGGCAGTATGTAAAGGTGGCCCGTGTAAGTGATTTCCACGGGCATCCCACTAAAGGAGAACAAATCGCTGACAAAGGAGAGCCTTTCCCATTCAGCAGCGTCGTTAGGACAACCAAAAAGTATTTCTCAGATAATAAGTTCTACTTCAAAGCGTTTCTCACTGAAGGGTGACTGCTTCACTCCTTTTATTAAGTCTCCCTCCTTTTAATGCTGAAGGAACTGTCTCTGGTTATTTTTCATCGTGTTTATTTTGTAACATTCATTGAGCCCTTGTTTCCAAACAGGACCTACAAGAGCAGGCTACTCTTTAGGCCCTTAGCCCTGTAAATGTCCGAGAGGAGGCCCACAAGGGCTTTGAATGAGGCAGCAGATAAAGTGTTTTTAGAAATGCTGAGAGGACAGCTATAAAATTGATAAAGCCCCATTACGACTAAACAAATCTGCTGTTGTGGCCTTTTAAAAAAAAAGGGGGTTGAGCGCTACTGAAGTGTTTCTTTTACTTGAGCTTTATAAAAGATGCTCAATATTAGAGATGTGTTTTACTTCAGTGCTGATGAAGGGTTTGCATTAAATTGCCACAGCACCACCATCCTCCAGGAGTCAAGTGTGTTAATTGATGCAGTAAACCCGGGATAATTTCCAGTATGTGTTGTTGTTTTTGTTTTTGTTGTTTATTACAAGATATGCAATTTGTTTTCGTCTTGTCCAAAGCTTAACAGGCACATGTATAGCGTGTATGTAGCTGGTGTGTCATCTACCTGCCAACGGTGTATTTGTGCAAACACACATTTAGTTGGAGAAGGTGCATCCTTAGCTTTGATGATAGTTCATTTAGTGGCAGTTAGTGTTTTTCAACCAGACAAATTCAAATGTGAGCGTCTCACTACCCAATTGCCATAGAAATCCTAACGCACCATGAAGACTGTCAAAGCGGCCAGCCTTCCTCTCAGAAGCTGCAGCCTTTGAAGTGGTGCAGGACTCGCGTTGGTCAATTTTAATTCTATGGGCTGGACAGGCAACTCTTTGAAAGTGAGATTGTGCGTTTTAATGGAGGAAATAAGAGGGGGAACTTGTTTTATACACTCTATACAAGGCCTTGCTTATTGTCAGATATCTTTTTATCTTTTATTTTTCCCATGAATGATTCATGCGTCGGCTGCTTTGTGCTGTCGCGCCTTTCAGAGGTAACGCCATCAGGGGGCTATAAGTTTTCCCATTAGCTCAGTGATTAGTTTATACCAGCCTCCTTGGCCCGTGAGATAGCAGTGAATATTTTATAGAAATGTCTGGAAAGGAAATGAGCTCTTCTACTTGTTCATTCCAGGTGAGAAAGACATTATTGTTTTGTTGACTCTTAAATATATTTCATATTAAAAGGGTCAATATTGACAGTAATTGCAAAGCTTCCTGAAATACATTTAAAAAAAGTAACACTCTCACAGTCACCAATGTAATAACAATTCCATAATAACACAAAGTGATTTACTATTTTCTCAAACTCTTATTAATCAAAGACACTCATTGAATATAATAATTGACACTTGTTAATAACTTTCTGTATATGTCCTGTTTTTTATTATTATTTTTAGCATGAAATTTTATATTGTAAATTTAATTTTGAACACCAAGGATCTGCACACTCATAGCTGATTCATCTCCATTTTTTTTATCCATCATGTCCAACGGCACCATGCACCTCAGAGAGAAAGACAGATCACTACAAAAGGCATGCGAGAAAGGGACTTTTCACATTACACAGCCTATTCAAGTAAATGTTTCTTCTTTTACAGAACACAATTTAAAAAATAAGAAAGTGAACAGAAAGTTAACATTTAAAAAAAAAACATCAGCAGGGCACTATGCATCACCAAAACTGATATTATTATTCTTTGGTGTTCCTGTAATTCCAACATTGATACCAGCAAATAAATTACGATGTACAAAACAACATTTTTTTGTAATTAAAACTACACAACATTCACAAGCATCAGTACAATTACATATATACAAATCCTACAGGGTCAAAGCCTGTCAGTGTAGACATTTAGGGTCTCGAGGGACTCACTCTTTAACGAGCATAACACTTGTGTATTTTGCATAAAATATAGTCTTAAATAGTTCTTAAATATTACAAAATTCCATCCAAACACATGTATTGTAGAAATCTGAAAAGATAAATGAGAACCCTTAAGACATTCAGATGTTTGCTTCCTCTTTTCTTTTTTTTTCTTATTGGTTTATCAAAGTTTGTACCACAACTTAAAGAAATCACACATTATTTATAAAAAATCTTCTTCTTCTACTAGATTCTGTCCGTTAACATTTGTTGCTATTTGAGGGGTTAAAGGTAGTACCATTTGTTTCCCTTAAATGTCTGGAATATGACAGTGATTGATAGCAGGTGAGTTATTAAACTGCAAGGGGTGATGGGAGGTCACATGAAATATGTCATCTCTGCAAACCAGTTGAGTCTTAAGCCATGCAGTTAATTAAACCCTGCATATTGCTCTTGTACAAAGCTTATTCATTTTGAAAATGCCCTATTCAGATTTTTTTTTGTCCTTTTAAATTAGATTTCAGTTCTAATGATAGTGTGTGATGATTTGTTTTGACAGATTTGATCTACATTTTTAAGAAAGGTCAGGGGTCACATCAATTTCATTCTTGTTTATGTAGTAAGGCCTGCATTGCCTCCAAGATAATAATGAGTTATCTTTGTTGAGCACACTTGTTTAATAATACTACAGTGAAAATAGCTGATCAATGTCCCAAGCGCCCAGGCCAGCATGGTTCTACACACCTTTTAACGGGTCAACTAGATGGCAATTTGACAGTCAAGTTGTAAACAGGGCATCAGAGCATTGTCCTTGGGTCTGAGTGTCTGAAAGAGTCCTCCTCTGAATCTGACGTTGGCACATCGCTGGAGGGGGTGTGGAGGTGGTTGGGTCCCCCGCTCCCCTGGCACACGTACCACTCGTTGAGGTTGGTGACCTGAGGGGAGAGGTTCGCCGAGCGGTTCCTGTGCGGCTCGGAGTTTGGAGAAAGAGAGTCTCCGAGAGGGTTTGTGGAGGAAATGTAGGGGACGTTGGTCGAAGGGGGCGGTGGGGACTTGCAGTGCACCTTCATGTGCTTCCGCAGAGAGCTTGGATGTGTGTAGGACTTGTCACAGCCTCGGACTTTGCAGTAGTAAGGCTTGTCGCTGGTGTGGACGTGAGAGTGCTTCTTCCGGTCGCTGCTGTTGGCGAATTTTCTGTCACAGCCTTCAAACTCGCACTTGAAAGGTTTCTCTCCTGGAAGAAATGAGAAACAGATGCAGTCAGTGTCGTGTGCAAAGAATGTTGATGCCCTTAAAAAACTGTCATGAAAAAGTCTCCCTGAGGGGTGTTTACATGTTTTACACACATCACAAGCTTAGAGCTGTTAATTAATTCAATCTCAGCATACCACCTTAAAAAATACACCACGAGGGAAACGTTTCCATGTTTGCTCTGTTTTGCAGCTTTTTTATTTTTTTTTACTAGGGCTTCATTTTCAGAGCTTTTTCACTAAACATCTCCCACAGCCACTTGTCCAAAGCGTTTTCCTGTTTGAACACGTGTAACATGCCTTTAGGCCTTCTGGCTGTATGTGTGTATGTGGAAAGAGAGGGGGCACTCTGGAGACCACCGGCAGCCGTTTATGTACCGTGGTGGACTCAGGTTATAACTCATTTTACACACTCACTCGCCAACATACACACTGACTTTGTTAGATGGAGAACATACATATAAGAAAATAGGCTGCACCCTGCTGTGTGCATTCCATATCCATATGTAAAATATTGTGGGAAGGATGGTTGCATGAGTTAAACGGATAAGCAATAAGAAACAGTAACTTGGACTTTCCTTACGTACATTTTTTATATTACCTGTTTATTCCCCTGGGGATTTTGCATCATTCAGTAAGGTGTAGAGGCCTGTGCTAGCGACATCTATTAAAGCCAATGACCATTCAAACAGTTCTCAAAAAAGAAGGCATACAAATGAGATTTTTACTTTGTGGGAAGTTAGCCTGCTCAGACTCCCTGTCTTGCCTCACTCTGCAACTCTGAGACGCCGTTGTTTTGGTAGGACAAATTTTCTTTTTCTACAGACTGTAATGCATAGTTGTAGACTATAGCTTCCCCTCGCTTGGTTTAACAGTTAACCAAATCTTGAAACTAATACATATGGCACATGGTATGATTGCGTGCACCGTACACGATATTTAAGATAAGCTTTGGCGTAAACGTCCTGCGCCTGACTATAATTACATATGCGCGTGTTGTTGCGCTGTCCTGCATGTACGTAAGCACGTTTTACAAATCATATGCCCTTATCATCTCACGCCTACAGCAGTCGTCTCAGCGAGTACAAAACTTTACATTTAAGAAAGGCAATGTAACACGTTTAACACTGTGCGAATGCGTCACTGAGTACAACTTTTTTTGCTCGCTTGCGTGCGCAATTACGCACGGTCGCACTCTATTTAGGATGTGAAAAACAACACGAGGTCTCTTCGGATAGATTATAATGCTCTACGATCAAGTGATATTTTTTCAAACTTCACAATTACAAGCACTACTGACCTGTGTGAGTCCTCTTGTGAATCTTTAAATTCTCCGATCGAGCGAACACTTTTCCACAGCCCGGGAAAGGACACGGGAAGGGCTTTTCTCCCGTGTGAACTCGGATATGATTGATCAGTTTGTACTTCGCTTTGAAAGCTTTTCCTTCCCGTGGACATTCCTCCCAAAAACAGACGTGGGAGCTCTGCTCCGGTCCCCCGACATGCTCCACCGTGACGTGGTTGACCAGCTCGTGCATGGTGCTGTAAGTTTTAGAGCAGGGCTTTTTTTGACTTTGCTCCTGGTCAATCCATTTGCAGATTAGCTCTTGCTTTATGGGCTGCCGCATGTATCTTAAAAACGCCCCCGCCGCTCCGTGAGGAGCTGAAGCGATGTTCACATTGAGGTTCATGGAGTTGTAGCTGTGGAGAGAAGAGGGTCCATAGTGATCTGGCCTGTGCCCGAAGTGCTCTGGCCTGCCGTAGATGTCCCCCGGTATACCCAGGCGCATCTGCCCATTGAGGGCATGGTGGTGATGGGCACCTGGGGACCCTTGGTCGTGAAGTCCAGTAAAAAGTGAATGGGCCCCACTTTCTGCGTGCCCATAAGCACCTGTTGGAGAGATGAACATGCCATGGTGATGAGGGGAGGAGGCGGAACTATGCTGGTCGCCAAGTGCATGCATAGCAGAGGCTGAGAGTTCTCTCCTGAGGATGAAGTCCCTGCTGCTTGAGTAGCCTGAGTGGGGGTGAGCCACGGGGAAACCAACAGTGGTCTGAGCAGAAGTGAAAGATGCCGCGGTCTGGGCTTCGTGATGGCTCTGAATGTGTTGAGATGGGCTAAGTTTGAGAGCATTTGTCTGTGCCATGTGCTCTGGTCCAAATGGAGTGAGTGCCACTCCGGGGTCGTTGCCCAGCTCCCCAGGGTGGAGGTGGGCATGGTGGGAGAGAGGGTGATGCCCCCCTAGCCCCGGGAAGCCTGTCATATTCTGATGAGGATGGGGTTGAGTCGCTGCCAAATCCGCTAATCTTATCGCCGGATTCCTCTTGTTTAAAGGGGGTTCCATAACTACACTGACAAGTCCATCCGCACTCACCGCAATTGTTTTCACCCCACCACGCTCTCTAAAACATTAGAAAAATATGTATATAAGGGGTCTATAAGTTCTTTTGTCCGGCTTCTAACTCTGCTTGCTCCTTTTCCCACTCTGTCCTCAAGCGATTGGCAGAACATACAACAGTTGGAGGACACAGTGGGGAATACAGTTTAGAAATGGCACTGCGGGTATTGGACGGATTTTGGTGACTGGCAGTTAGGAGAACGAAGCGATTGGCTGTCGTTCAGCGCAGGGGCTCAGCAGGGTTCCGCCCCCTCACTCTCTTTATCGCTGTTGACTCCAAAAAGTTGTACTCACAAAGTTACCAGCAGATCTGTTTGTGCGGCTTTCTGTTTACTGCTGCTGGCGCATGTGGATGACCGAAATGTCAGTTTATATGGCCAATGCAGCCCAGTTTATCTTTGGTGAACTGTCTTGCTATTGATTTCAGGTCGCCATTGAAAAAAGAACACGCTGCTGGTGGATGTATGTTTGAATGTAAGTGAGTAAAGGATGTGGCCAGTTTTTAGATGCGTAATTCACGGCAGTATAGTGAGTAAAGAGGCAAACAGTGATGGGGCGAAGTGTATTTCTTTGGCACGCTTGGTTCAGCATGTATTTATTATCAAGAAGGATTAAAAAAACAACAACAGCATGATTTCTTAGGAAAATATATTAAGTAAGGAGCGCACCTTTGGAAAGTCATTGCGATGCGTAATTATACAAACTTTATTTTACTGAAGACTAAAATACCATAAAATTATGAGATAAATTAAAGAAATATTCATATTAACAGAGTTTAGTTTCGTTTGCTGTTCTGTTTATCCTACCCTTCACTCTAAATTATGATGTAAATGTATATTTTTTTCACAAGTTGACCGAAATAATATGACTTCTACATTTAAATTAGGTTTAAATTGAATTTTGGGGTGATGTAGGCTGTCACACCAATCATCCTGAAAACGTATTAAAAAAAACTATAACAATTTCCTATGTTCTTTTTCATTGTATAATTGTTCATAATGCCTCAATACAATTATAATACAATAATTACGTTGGCCCAACAATATTTACAAGTCAAGGATGCCTTAACTAGTTACTTCTAAACATCTAACAGTAAACTAAGACAAGGGGATCACAGCGTAGCCTACTATTTTATTTCAGTGCATTTTTTTGACAGGACCTGCAAAGTGTGTAATGTGCTGTCATTCTCAGCACCCGGGATAAGCGTTATTTACCATCATTTTGTAAGGGTTATTATTGTAGTTGAAAGACATCTGTTAAACTGCATTAGAGCTCACTATGACGGATCTTGCCATTTGATTAGTCCCTGATGACAGCAGGACGTGTATCTGTCATTCATATGTCTTCATTCACACACCTTTCCGATCGATGTGTGATACTCAAACTACAAATCATCAAAGTTTTTCTAACTTGAAAATAAGTTAAAAATATAACATTTTAAATATAAAAATGAAAACCACATTTTCCCACTCATCCATAATTGATTTCCAGAGGGAAGGGTTTACATGTTATGGCCCTGTTGCACGTGCTTCTCTGTTGAAACTGATTTATGATATTGACAATCTGCAAATGAAACACGAGTGGAGGTTTTATGTCATAACTTCAGCAATTGATCAATACCTTTTTGTAGTTTTGCAAAAATATTTTTTAAAATGTTATCAATTTACAGTCAGTCATATTTGTTTCATTGGTTTTTACTGTTAGTAGTTGTACCTGCTCCTTTGATAAGGGCTTCATTTTTTATTGTATGTGCACAATCTATCTTAATCTATTTTACAATTATTTGTCATACCTATTTTTCTTTCATTGTAATTCAAAAGTCACTAAACAACCTCCCATGGACACATGTGTGTATGGTTGTTTCGGGGATTTAGTTAGCCAGCTCCAATGGGAGCTTCTGGGAAATCATAAACCACAGAAGAGCAGTGGGTGTACTGTTTATGATTTGTTTAAGGGCTCCTATTTCATACACATTAAATTAAACGACACATTAGAAGAACATAATCCACACAAAATTAACAACAATAATTACAATTTTGCTGATGAAGTAGTAACACAAGTTAACCTCCCTTGTGCTTAACCGTGACAATTTGTGAATATCACGCATGTGCAATTTTGGGAATGCACCTCTTGGTCACAGTGTGCTGCAGACATTTCATCATTCATATTATTCTGCCATGTCAAATAAATTGATCTATAAAATGCATATTTTTGTATAATCAGAATGAGGAAAGCCTGGGTTTTTACTTTTTTTAAGGAATAGGCTATTTAAAAAAAAAATAGATTTATAGTTTCCATATAGCTGTCGATGCCTCATATGAGTGGGACCTCTTAAAGCTCTCTCTCTCTGCCTCCCTCTCTTTTTCTCTCTCCGTTTAAAACAAAGACGCTTTGTCATAAACAGGGTTATTTTACCAAAGGGAGTCAAGAGGGCAACATATGTGGTTTTAACGGTTCATAGGTCAAACATCCATGAAACACAAGGTCACGGAAGCCACACAAGTAACCTTCCAGTGTGTCAACATATTGATATTGTCAGATAACAGGCAGAAGAAATACGCCTTTGGCCCCCATTATGACACGCAGGCACAGTGCCCGTATGTGATCAAGACTTGTGACTTTATTGATCTTTGCGTAATACTTAGCCTACAATTTAAAGCTGTAACTTCAGATCACCTTCTAAAACATGTCATCTTATATTTTAAATCTATGGGCTACTGCTGGTCCTTAAACCTGTTGAAATACTGGTCTTTGGGGGATTTTCAATAGGCTAGACCCCCTTTCTTCTCCAAGCAGAAGGGTAAACCCGCAGCCCTGTGCCTCTCTAACTGATAGATTTCCCCCCCCCCCCCCCCCCCCCCCCTTCGCTTTCTCCCTATCTGGGGAATGTTTTGTGGTTTTCCTGAGAAATAAAGAACTTCTTATAGGGGTCGGCAGACGTGACTTTGAACTTGGATCAGCTCCTGCGTTTCCTGTGGTGCGGGTTGAAATAGACTTGGAAGAATGGCACACAACGCTCAGCCTGTCCCACTCCGAGCTATGAGACTCACAAATTCAAAAAAGTTTTTAAACGCTTCCCTCACATTCTCCATTAATTGTCGCCTAGAGCACCGGAGAGCTGAGGCAGACTGAGATTGAGTTGTGTAATGGAACGGGAGAACTTGTGGGATTTTGATTTGGTGGAAATGTAAGTAAACTTCCTTTGACTTGTGAATGTGAATGAGCAGCTGTGGTTCTTCGCCTGTATATCCCCAACTAAACACAGATTCAGGGATTGCTTGTGAGGAAAATTGCCAGTAAAAGAAGCCAATCCTTCCATCTGTGCGTTATATTTTGACTGTTTGTAAACCAAAAGGGAAATATCATTAGGAAAACAATATGGTTCACAATTGCATCCTAATTCAATATAGCGTAAATTGTATTGCTCAAACTTTATTATTGGGCGTTCAGGAAAGGCTCGACCTTACATGTCACTAATGGTTAACTTGGATCTAAGCGCAGTTCACCACCATAACATGTATTTTAATTGCTGTGGTGAATGTGAGAACCACCGAGGAAAAAGAACCAGCGACATATGGAACCAACAACAACATGCATAGTGGTTGCCAGTATGAGCGCTGGGGCACCGCTAAAGGCCCAGCTGTGGTTCTACAACCAGTGAAAAACCACTGGACTCCATATGCAGCCACACATGCTTTTTCAGCTGCGGAGAATTAAGCGGCGAGATATTCGTCAGAATAAATGATTCTGCAGGAACTTTATCACATCAACAGATTACTAAGATATTAAGATATATCACCATTTTAAATGTTATTGTGGTCTAGCAGTTTATTATAATTTGGTCGGATACTTTTTTAAGGGGGAGGGAAGCTTGGGGGGGGGGTTGGTGCAGTAGCCTACATTCAGTGCATTTAAACAAGATATAATGCTCTGCATTAGTAGGCTGCATTATGTATTTGTTTGTTTTTTTGCCATCAGTTAATGCAGCTTTTGCAGTTCAATCAAATAGTGAAGTATTTCAATCAATGCATGATGCTTTATAAAGGTGCCTGAACATCACCTTTTTACACTCTTACCTTTTCTGCAGTCATACGGGCATGCGTTGCCTATAAACATTTACGCTATTTGTGTAATTTTAGATGTCATGACGATAAATTAATACCCCTATACTAGGCTATATTACACGGCTCTGTGTAAACTGAAATAGGAGCGTGATACATTTCCTTTTACTTACCAAAAAAAGATAGTGCCAGAGCTGTTGCTTTTATTTAGATTAAGTAAATAACCATGAACCACAAACCATCTGACTTACTTTTTCCCCGATCTGAATATTTGTACATCCAATCTTTTTATTTCTCAGCAAATGTCACAATCGTATCTATTTATTTATGATAGGACTTGCTTCCAAGGAATATAAACAACATGTCTCTCCCCTCTCTCTCGTCGTGATCCTTTCGCTTGTATATACCCCCAAACCTTCTCCTAAAAGTAGGCGGTAATTATTAGTGGAAAATGGCGTTGCGCTATTAAGTCGCCAAATCGCTACCTACCATTGGAGGGCCACCTGGGATTGATGAGGCGCCGTGGCCAATGAGACTGCGAGGAATGAATGAACGGGCTCCAGTTAAAGGGGGCGGAAGAAGAGGTAGAGCCAGTCCACGGAGAAACAGGGACCCTCCGCGATAAACACAGGCGAGCCAGAGAAATAAATACACACCCAATCGGAACAGCGTTTTTTGAGATGCTCCACACCGAGGACACCTAGTAAGATAATTATTTAATTCTTCGAGTGCATTTTATCGCAGCCAACTGCCGCAGTCAAGAGAAGAGGACTCAAGGAAACTCTTCATTTCGTTGAATTTTGGATTTTTGCAGCACAAGTTAAGTAGAAGTAAATTCAGTGTTCGTTAAGCCGAGCTGTTTTTTTTTCTCATGAGCGGAGCAGCGTTTTGAATCACATCTGATATGGTGTTTCTAAGGTTGGAACTTGAATCGTTGCCTGCCAGCATTTGATTTTGTTCTTAAACTTATTCGCTGTAGCCGTGTGCTGATTTAAACAAACAGACTAAAACAAAATACGCTAACTGAAATCATGTTACTGGATGCTGGTCACCAGTTCCCCGGACTGGGAGTGGGGTCATTTGCC